TTTCAACAAGAGTGGTTGGCGGGTGCTCTTGGGTGGTTTGCTCTTTCTTTCCTATAAAAAATCTGTCGTCCATATCTCTCCTTCTTTTGTTTGTATATTACTCTAATGACACTTCTAATCTCCTGCACTTGTATAACCTTATTATGTTACAAGTGCTGTAAAACTGTTTCTAAGACTAAAAAACTAAAATATCATGACCGACTAGTGACTGTGGTATGCTGTTTAGGCTCACCACAGGGGATATAATTACGTGTGTGTAGTTCTATTTGTGGCGTAACATTCAAAAGATGTATTGGGGGCTCTTGTGGCCTGGAGGTTAAGGTGTTCACCCCTCATTCAAAGGTCCCGGGTTCGAATCCGGGTAGCGACCGAAAAATTTTCTTCTCTAAGATTGTCTCCTTTCACTTCCTTTTCTTCTCTCCTCTAGCAATGTTCTGTCTTCTGCTATCGTCTCCACTTTCTGCCCTCACCTCCTTTGTCTCCTCCTCTGGGCTCTTGACTCTTTCTGCAGCCTTTCTTCTGCTACTCCTTGGCTCCTCACTGCTGTCTTTTATTTTCAACCACACCCCTGATCTTCTGTGGGGATAGATCTACGGTACACCTCTAGCCTTCTCGGACTCGGGCGAAAAATCTTGGAGGTCCCGTGTGCAAGTTGCGCACGTTAATGATCCCTTGGTGGTCTAAAATCGACAAGAGTAGGCTTCGGCAGCCAGCGGGGCAAAATTCAAAATTTCCTGCCAACAGAAAATGTATCCCGCGCACTCATATGACCTTATGCTGCGAGCCCCGTTTTTTGCATGTTTTGCACTTTTTCAACAAGAATTTTCATGTTTTATGTTGGAGAAGAATTGAAAACAGAACGTATCAGTAATTTTTTTGTGTATTTGAAAAGAAAACAATTCCCATCAGTCAGAAAAAAATAAACAAAAAAATGTAATCTCTGTAACTTTCAGCTGTATAGACTAGAGGTAATAAAAATGTTGTTTTTTTAAAAGAGAGACATCTGGACCTCTGATGCTGGCACGTCTCTAAAACCAGGGACACTTGTCAAACATGAAACATCAGCAGACACACGAAGTTGAAGAACAACTTTTGATGTTTTGAAAAATTGAACAGGCTCAAGGAACAAAATCCCTGACCCCCTCCTTTTAACAAGGGAAATAACGAGCTTGTCACTTAAATTAAGCTTATTATTGTGATTACTTCCTTTTAGTCACACGGCGAGGTATATTTAGTAATTTAGTTATTGTTTTATGAAAAATCAAAAATGCAAAATATCGTGACCAAAATTATGTAAATAAATGCGAAAAAACGCGGCTGCACAATCCCATAATCTGACGGGGACAGCTTTGTCAAGTAGGCTATATAAATATGCACTAAATTTATCTACTATCTCATTGTTCTGCTGGTGTACTTTGTCAGGCTCCGTTTGAGTTGGCTCTGAGGAGCAAGGTCGAAGCAGCCAGTCTCCTAAATTAGCCCGTTTAAATTGTGTCATTGGAGATTGGTTTTGGGTTACTGTTTGTTTTTTTAAAAATTAATGTAGGCCCTATGTGTATAACTCCCCCATTGACACAGTTTAGATCATTTTGGAGGCAGGCTTCCAACCCTGACTGTCTGAGACTGAGAGGGATTCAACATTCCAGCTGAAAGACCGAGGTACTGGATAAAAATTTCTCTCCATTCAGGAATCGAACTCGGGTCTCAGGCATGCGACGACAGTGAAGCACCTAACTACTACTGTACTACACCATACATATTTACAGTCAATAATCAAAGATAAGAATGATAATCTGCTCATCACAAGAGTGACTTTTTTGTCAAATGTTTTGAGTTTTGAATTCAAAATCATTTGTTAGCAGTAGCCAATAATCCTTAATCAGTCCCTTCGGTTTTATGCACACAAAAAATTATGAAATTATGCAAACTGAGCCCAAAAGTGTAAAATTATGCGATTCTGTTAATTTTAACAAAGAATGATAAAGAAAAATAGTCAGAAATTATGCCCCCAAAAAAATCAAATTTTGCTAAATTATGCGAGGTGCATACAAAAAAAAATCCCGGGACAGCTTGATCTAAAGACGTAGATCTATTTTCTGAAACTGAAAGAGATAATTTCCCTTTTTACAGATATTTAGATTACATGTAATTATCATATTATGTTCACTGAATCTGCTTCACAACAGTGGAGTTGTTTTCAACTGTGGCTGTTCAGACTTTCAAGACATTACCCACTAAGTTACCCTTAGAAATATATGTACCACCAAACTACAAAAGGAAAATGAAAGTTCATTCAAATATAATTTCAGAATGTAATATTAACATGGCTCAATTTAATGAAGTCACAAAAGAATTTCTTGTGCAAAACCCAACACATTGTGGTCAGACTCGGTCGCTGACTGGCAAACCAGTGGCCTGGTGTTACAGTCAGGAATACAGCACCCTACTTAGCACACTCACTCAGTAGATGTATCCAATCTTGAGATGCTCTCTTTGGTTCCTCCTCCCCCCGCGGTAGAATTTCTTTCTTTACTATATTGAAGTCTTTTGTACAGAGAATAATATCTTGAACAAGAGACACGCATCTGATGCTCACTAGAGTGTAAAAATGTGATGCTATAGTGCAAAATCTGTTGAACTTTATACATGTGTGCAAAGACGAAGAAACTGCTCATACGTGACAGTAAGTTGTTTTGTTGGGGTTTTTTTGCTTTGAAAAAAGTACGGTGCACAGGGTGCATGTAGCCACGTGGTGTACAGTGTACACAGGGTGAAATCGAATGAGATAAAAGTGATTATTAGTTCTCGTGATTGAGTAAACGGTGGTGGTAGTGGTAGCTATACGTTGAGCCAAAATCTAGACCTAGCTGATTTGCCAATTAAAAAAATCTTAAGTCTCAAAATCGCTAACCAAATTTAGAATCTTGTGCTAGGCAGTGGAATAGTGTTTCTGGAAGCGCCCTGGCCTAGACAAGAATCTAATTTGACATATATATATGATATGCCCCCCCCTCTC